TAGTAGAAGTTGTAGTAGTAGTATAGTAGTAGTCAGGGGCGTTGCTAGAGATTTTGGGCCCCATGAAAGCATATCATATTAGGCCCCCCAGTCCAAACCAATCCAGTTATTTTCCTAATTTTTTAGGGCCCCTGTCACTCAGGGGCCCTTGGAATCGTCCTAGCTTTCCTTCCCCTTACGGCGCCCCTGGTAGTAGTGATTTATTCAGAAATTAGCCTAAATCGCTTAAAGTATAATACCTTTCGTACTTAGTATTACAATTAATATATAGCCTGTATGTGAAACAATTTAAATGTAACATGACACCTTGGTTTTAAAAAAAAGAAAGAAAACGGTGTTTTTTCCCTGGAAAATACATAAAAATTTGGCCTGTTTTCCATAGTAAGATTTGGAGAGGAGCGTCAGCAATATATTGCTCATTGAGCATCATGGAAATGAATTTTCAGCAAAAAGACTGGGCAGCCGACTCTTAGAATAATTCTCAAGGTAGCGTTTTAATAAATTTTTGATCATTATTCTCCCTGTGCCCGATGGATGGAGAACTAATCTGAGTTTAATCCAGTTAACCTGAGAAAACACGTGGTGTCGCTGTTGACCGAGGGTTAACAAACTCCAAAATCTTTTATCTGGGCTCCACCTTCAGTCTCACGCAGAGTGGAATGGTCTTTACTGAAAAGCGAATCTGCAGAGTAACGTGTTATGATATGCCCCGGTGTTCCCGCATAGCCAGTGTTTTATTTATTTTGAAATTAGTGGATATCTCTGTAAGTGTAATATGCATGTGGCTTCCGTCTGAAAGCACTGGATGACAAGATATTGGCGATGGGTGATTTTGTTCGTATAAAATGTGTCTGGATATGGTTGCTAACACTCCTTTGTTTATGGGATTCATCCTTTGGGCAGATTGTGTACTCCGTGTCAGAGGAGGTGGACAAGGGAACCGTGGTTGGAAATATAGCGAAGGACTTGAACATTAATGTTAATGAAATGGAGTCGCGAATGTTCCAGATTGTGTCGGGATCCAGCAGGAAATATTTTGAGGTAAACTTAAGAACTGGGGTGTTTTTTGTGAATGATAGAATCGACCGAGAGGAACTGTGTCCTGGCCTTTCGAAATGTTCTTTATTTTTAGAAGCCATTGTCCATAATCCTCTAAAGCTATTCCGTCTTGAAATTATTGTATTGGACATAAATGACAACGCGCCATTTTTTCCACAGCATGAAACAGAGATAAATATAACCGAAATCGCTATTCCATTTGATAAATTCTCTATTCCTATGGCAGAAGATTTCGATGTGGGCAGTAACTCGGTAAAAACCTATAAACTGAATCCGAATGATTACTTTAGTCTAGAAATACAGAACGAGGGAGATCCGACTGTATCCGCAGAATTACTGCTTCAGAAATCATTAGACCGAGAGAAACAGGCCGTAATTAGGCTTGTAGTAACTGCTGTTGACGGCGGAAAATATCCCAGATCCGGAACTTTACAGATAACAGTGAACGTGATGGATGTGAACGATAACAGCCCAGCGTTTAGCAAGCCGTTGTATAAGGTTAAACTGAAAGAAAATGTTCCTTACGCAACACCGGTCTTAACACTGAATGCGACCGATCCAGATGAAGGATTAAATGGGCAAATACTTTACTCTATACCTGGGCAAAGAAACGTAAACCTTAACATTTTTACCATAGATTCAATGACTGGTGAAATATCTGTAAAAGGCAAAATTGATTACGAAGAAAATCCTAATTTTGAAATCCGTGTAGAAGCTAGAGACAAAGGCGTCCCCTCGCGCAGTTCGCAATGTAAAGTTCTGATCGAAGTTACTGACTTGAATGACAATCGTCCTGAAATATCAGTCACGCCACTAAAGAAAAGTATCAAGGAAGACGCTACAAGTGGTACAGCTGTGGCATTGATAACAGTTTCTGATAAAGATGAAGGAGAAAATGGAATGGTGAAATCTGAGATAATTGGTTCGTTGCCTTTTAAACTGCAGTCTTCTTTTAAAAACTATTATTCATTAGTTGTTCACGGATCGCTGGACAGGGAGATTGCTTCTCAATACAACGTCACCATCACAGCTACAGATGAGGGAACCCCGCCTCTCTCCAGCACCAGCGTCATTACCGTGCACGTTTCTGATGTAAACGACAACGCGCCGCGTTTCCCAGAGCCGTTGATAAATATCTATGTAAAAGAGAACAATCAGATCGGCACCGTTATATATACCGTGTCTGCGGCTGATCCGGATGAAAATGAAAACGCCCGAGTTTCTTACTCGCTCATTGAAGGCTCTTCAGCCAGTGTTCCGCTTTCTAGTGTAATAAACGTTAATTCGGCCAGTGGGGAGATATACAGCGTACAGTCATTTAACTACGAAGAAATTAAAACGTTTCAATTTCAAGTTCGGGCCACAGACTCTGGTGACCCTCCTCTAAACAGCAACGTGACCGTGAAGGTTTTTATCCTGGATGAGAATGACAACAGTCCTGGGATCCTC